GCCTGGCAGGCAGCAGAGAGCCAATTTAGACTACAAGATGGAGGCGGCAGCCTGTGGGTAGAGGCAGGGGAAAAAAAGGGAAGAAAAGAGTCTTCTGATGCGCATCATGTCTGCAGGATGGAGTATGACTAATTAATAGATTTTATTCTTAGTAATCTCTTAAGCCTTCCATACGTTGGGCCCCCTCTCTTGAGCTATGGCGCACAAGAGGCCTCGTTTGCAGGATGCAAATGAGTCGGCAGCTTCTAGGGTCCCCTTTCTTTTGCTTCCTTGGGCTGTTTTTTTTTTTTCCTAGAGAAAATTTAAAGGAAAATTGCAATGTAATAGAAAGGAGATCCTAATCACTACATCTGATTACCACCAGGGCTAAGCCACTTAACCTGAAAAAAAATGTGGCGCTGGGCCGGGGGTGGGGCGAATCATCACCCCAGACAGCCGAGGTGTTCCGGGCGGGGTTTCCTGTACAAGCGTGGCCAGACGGTGCCTGCTTTGCGAGCTGTGGCTCTCCTATGGGACGCCTGTGTCTCCTGGAAGAAGGAAGTGCCTTCTTCTTCCCTTTCCCTCGGCCACCTCTGGGGAGATGCTGCCAGGTGTCCCAGGGGCAGGGGCCGACCCGCTCTTGTCTGTCCCTAGGGCCTCGCATGGTATCTGACACTTAGTAGGTGTTTAATGCGTGCATGTCGATTGATTGATCTGTGAAATGAAGAGACTGGACTAGAGATCCCTAAGTTTCCTCCCAGCTCTTAGCTCATTGCTTGCCTGGTACACAGTAGGGAGTTAATAAATGCTTACTTATTGATCTTCACCAATCTCTAAGTCTCCTCCAGGCTCTAGTGACTGCCTGGTACACAGGAGGCATTTAATAAATGCTCATTGGCTGATCGTCTTGTAAAACGAGGAAGATGGCCTAGAGATCCCTAGGTTTCCTCCGAGCTAGATCTTCGGCACTTAGCACCATGCCTGGTACTCAGTAGGCATTTAATCAATGCTCGTTGGTGGGTTGGTTGATTGATTTGTAAAACGAAGAGACCGGATTGAGAATTCCAGAGCTGCTCGAGCTCAGCTCAGTGCCTGACACGTGGGAGCCTTTTAATAAATGCTTCCTGATTGATCGAAGGCAGAGGCTCTGCCAGAGAGCTTTGAGACTGGGCAAGACAGCCTTCTGGGCGGCCGGGTGGCACAGCAGTGGCTGGAGCAGCTGGCCTGGAGTCAGGAAGACCTGAATGCAAATCCTGCCTCAGACCCCGACTAGCTGGGTGACTCTGGGCAAGTCACTTCTCCCTGTTTGCCTCGCTTTCCTCATCTGTCAAATGGGCTGGAGAAGGAAATGGCAGAGCCCTCCAGTATCTCTGCCAGGAAGACCCCACTGGGGTCGGGGAGAGTTGGGCACGACTGAACTCGTGCCTGGAGATGCCTGGAAGGCAAGGAGGCCGTCTGGCCTCCGGGTGGTATGCTGGCGGCCCCGCATCCCTTCCACTTTGGGAGGAGCTGGTTCTTTGACACGCTCTTCCAGTGAGAGCGTTTCTCGAGCTGCAGAATAGTGGGAAACAGGGAAGGCAAGCTGTTTCCCCAAGGTTGTACAGCTAGTAAGGAGAGGCCATATTTGAACCCAGATCTTGGTCAGAGGTTTATAGGATTTACTGTGGAAAGGAACCCCAGAGATCACTTAGTCCAGCCCTCTCAGAGGCCCAAGGTGTGTGTGCATGTGTGTGTGTGTGTGTGTGTGTGTGTGTGTGTGTGTGTGTGCGCGTGCGTGTGCGCGTGAAGTGCCTCGCAGGCGGGTGGTAAGGGCCAGAGCAGGATTTGAACCCAGACTTTCTGACTGTAATTCCATAGCTCTCTCCTCTCTTCCCTCTTAATAAGGTGGGCGAGAAGCCGACTCTTTAGGAGGGAGAGCTGGAGGGTTGGGGAGCAGAGGGGGCTTTGGGAGCCTTTGTGGTGGGAGTAGAAGGGCTGGGAGAAAGTCTTTATCTGTGGGTGCCCGGATCGGGGTGGCGTGAGGAGCTCCGTGCACATTGGGAGCCCCCTCGGGAAGCCCCTCCGCCCGTCGGCCTCCTGCTGTGTTTCCCGTTGGTAACTCCTGATGTGGGAAGCCCCTGCGCCATCGTGGGTTGAGCTGCCTGGGGAGAGGCTGAGGGTCCTGCCCAGAGCCACGTGGCCAGGACTGGAACCCAGGTCTTCCCAGGTCTGTGGCCTGGCTCTCTGCTCTTGACCACACCTTGTCTCTCCCAGACTTTGGATTTTTCCAGATGCTTTTCCATTCTCCATCCTGGCATGGCAGGGAGGGGAGGGGGCGGTGCTGTTGTCTTCATGGGGCTCCAGAGGGATTGGGGGACTGGCCTTGGGAAGTGGAGAGGTCAGATTAGAATTCAGCCCCCCTCCGGCTCCCAGCCTCCTCCTGGCTGACCAGTGAGAGGGAGTGGCCAGAGCCAGAGGAAGAGAAAGTCCGAGGGAGCCTGTTTCTTATGCAGGGGCCTGGTGGATTTGTTGAGGGCCGCGGGCAGAGCACCAGACTTGAAGTCGGGGAGACCCGGGGTCAGAGCTCACCTCCCGCATGGCCACGTCCCTTAAAGTGCAACCTCAGTTTCCTCATCTGTAAAATGGGCACGGTAGTAGCATTGACCTGGCCACATTTTTGAGGACCAAATGACATTGTGTCTTTGCTTACCTTAAAATGTCATAGAGCTGTCAGCTTTTGTTACTCTTATCATTTCATAGAATTTCAGGGTTGTAAGGGGCCTCAGGGATGTCTTGTCTCACCCATGCTGAGCCAAAATTCCTTCTACAACACCCTCAACAGATGTTCCTACCTCCTTTGCTTGAATACTTCCAGTGATGGGCCACTCACTACCTCCCCGAGGCAGCTCACTCCACCTCTGGACTTGCATGGAGCGTGGTTCTGCTTTCTGGGTCGGGGGGAGCGGTGTGACCTCCCCTCTGGGTGACGGCCCTTCACATAGCTGTGGTGTCATAGATGGAGAGCTGGAAGATGCCTAGCCCCCTCTTCTTACAGATGGAGGAACTGAGGCCCAGAGCGGAAGTGACTTGTCTAGGGTCATACCCGTGGATCCCAGGTCCCTTCGGATGTCTCCAGAGAGCAGTGATCTGTATCATTAGACTGGCAGCTCCCTGAGGGCAGGCTTGGCATAGGACAGGCCCTTAATAAAGGTTTGTTGACTGACCTCTGACTGACGGGTCCCTTCTCGGTGGAGCCTCTGCCCTCCGACACCTGCCAGGCCCAAGAGGATTATCTGTCATCTGTCTGAGGGATGGGGTAAGATGAACGCCAGACAGCAAGCTTATCGTCGCTGCTGGACCTTGGCCAGGGGTGGCCATCCCAGTCCTACTGTCCCAGGGGCAGAGGGACCTTGGCAATTTTAGACCCCCTCCCGAAAGGAGCACGTCCCCACTGACAGAGAGAGAGAGAGACAGACAGACAGACACAGAGGCAGACAGAGACAGAGAGAGACACAGAGAGGGACAGAGACACAGAGACAGAGAGACAGAGACAGAGAGAGAGAGTGCGGTAGATGGGGGCTGGAGTCTGGCTTATTTACAACTGTGAAATTAAGGCTTTGCTATTTTTCTCCCAGCCTCATTGCTATTTCCATTTAAATGGGAAGGGGGGGGTGCTGGGGACAGTTGGGAAGGAAATGTGGCTGAGCTCTCTTTCAGTGCTTTGTGCAGGGGGGGAGATCTGGCGGATATGTCTGGGGAAGGGTCCTGCCAGCTTGGCTGTGAATTTCCTTGGCCTCTACTCCTTTTCTAAGGGTCTTGCTCTTTCTTTCAGCCCACTTTCTCTTCGAGGAAAGGAAGCCGTGAGGTCTTTTGGCTTAGTGGCATTCCCACCTTGGGGAGCCCGGGTGAGGGGCTAGCGGCAGGGATAGCTGGGCAGCTGTGTGGGGCTCCCTGCCTTCTGTTTCTCAAAAAGCCCATCTGGAACGGTGGTCACCAAAGCATGGCCCCTCTTCCTTCTCCTCGTCCTCAGAATGGCATTTTTTTCCCAGAAGAATCTTTCTTTGTAGGAGGGAAGGATAGGGGCACCTGGCAGCTGTGTGGTGGGTGGAGCAGGCCTGAGGGGACCTAAGGGATGAGCCCCAAAGCGCCCTTTCTGCTCGTCTTTCTGGAGTCCCCTTTGTTATTTGTCCAGTGGTGACACCATCAGCTGATCAACAGTGGTGACAGTCACGCCAGAGCCAGGAACAGAAGGCTTAGAGCCTTCAAAAGTTGGGAGCACGTACTTGTAGAAGGCTGGGGTTTTTATTTTAGAAAGGGAGCAAGCAGCCCTCCTCAGAGACCAGAGGATTGGGGGACAGGCAGGCTGAGCTGAGGTCTTCTCACTTTGGGGTTGTTTTTCTCCCAGGATTTTCCTGAGAAAATTTGATCTTTCTCAGCCTCCTTTCGGGCAGCCGAGAAACCACCATATGCCAATTCTTCCTTTTGAAAACCTGAGCAGTTCCCTGCCCCATAACAGAGAACATTGTTGGTAAAAGATGCTTGATGGATTTGACTCATGGTTGGATAGAACAGAGGGGACCCTGGTAGTCCCAGGAAGTGACCCTTACCACCGGCACAGGAGAGAATGACCTCATGCAGAAGACACCCCGATGGAACCTGAGACACCGTAGAAACCCAAAGGTGCCCCCTTTCTGCCCCTTCCCATCCCCTCCCTGAAACCCCAACTCCCTTTTTCCCACTCCACTTTGGACTTGGAATCCTCTCTCCTCCCCCAGCCCATTCCTATCCCCACCACACTTTGTCGACACATTTGCTCATTCCCAGAAGACAAGAACCTCTGTTGGGTGGGTGGATAGATGGGGATCATTCTTTTGTTTCTATCCCAAGAAGAGACCTAGAAATAGCATCTCGGTTGCTACCCCCCCCACCTGGCTGTCGGTCTAGGAGTGCGCACAGAGAGATACGTACGTATATAAATGGACCCAGGAAGCTAGTGCTGCCCTTCACTGAGCATTGGGCAGGGACCAAATCGGGGTTCAGTATAGAAAACAAGTCTTTCTTTAATCAGCTACAAATTGTTCGGCTAATGTGGGGAAGCCAGGCAGTCTTTCTGGAAGTGATTATGGTCCAGAGCTAGCAGAGAGGTTCTGGGGGGGACGGTATCTCCTCCCCCCTCGCCATCCCCTTTTCTTTTCTCCTTTGTAGGACGCTTGAAAAATCTCCCGAATGCCAACAGTTAGCAGCCAGAGAAGAGAACGTTCTGCTGCGGGCTTTTGTGGGTTTTTTTCTTCCATTTTTAAATCCTGTTTGCTTTGCGTTTTTACCCCCGAACAAAACACGAGATTGACACGGGTGGTTGTACAGGTAGTTATCTTTCCAGTTCCCCAAAACAACATTCTTTCGTTTTTATTTTTAGGTTTTCCTGGCCTCCCTCCCTGCACCACCCCTCCCCCATCTGGCATTTTTCCTATAAATGACGGTATCTGACCTCAGTTTCCCTTCCTTGCCTATTTAAAACAAATTTTTCCACTGTTGTTTTTCTGAAATATTGACCCCTCCCCTCGTTTCTGGCTTGAAAATAGTTCTGTGTGGTGTCGGTAGGGGTAGCCAGTGGGAGTAGGCAGCCGCGTTTCCACCCAAGGAGGCGGTGGAAAGAAGCGGTGGGCGCAGAGCCAGGGAGCGCAGGGAAAGAGGGCGGCTCGGGTTCTGGGAAGGGGCGAGCGCGCTGCCATCATGTGTAGGAGTAGTCCGTGTCTGGGATGCCGCCGTCTCTGTAGCCTCGGGTGGCGCCGTAGCCAATGGCGTGCGTGGTCTTGTAGAGGCTGGTGCCGTTGGAGGGGAAGATCGTGTGTATCACGTACTCCTCCTTGGCCCGGTGCGGGTTGATGGGCAGCATCTGCAGCCCGGGCCCCCGAATCTCCAGAATCGAGTTGTCCTTCTTGGTGCCCGACTCCACGTAGTCGTCCTTCTTGCGGCTGCTCCGGCTGTAGGCCCGCTCGTGGGTCAGCAGCTCCCCGGCCCGGTGCACGTACCAGCAGATGGCCCCGAGGACCAGGAAGAGGAAGACGAGGGCGATGGCACCGCCGATGATGCCCGCCAGAGGCAGGCCTGTCACGGAGTCCGCGTTCTGCTCGCGGTTGAGGGCGGTGGTCGGCCCGTGGCCCTCGGCCGTCTCCGCCTTGGCACACACCGGCGTTTCGTCAGCCGCGTAGGCGTTGCCGCTCTCCATGGTGACCATGCAGATGATGTAGGTGGACTTGGGCTCGAGGGCCGTCAGCAGGTATTCCGTCTTGTCGCCCTGCACCAGGGTTTCCGTGATGGAGCCCACCGCGGGGCTGTGTCCCAGCCGCAGCCAGCTGAGGCGGAAGGAGGTGGCGGGCAGCGTGGCCTTCCACGTGATGCGGATGCTGTCTGCAGTCAGCGGCTTCACGTGGATGACCAGGGCCTTCGTGCCATCCCCGGTGGCTGCGGGGTAGTCGACGTTCGAGCCGGGGAGCTGGATGCCCGGCCTCTTGGACTTGAGGGTGAAGAGCGAGCCCTGCGGGGTCGTGGATGCGGCGTGGTCGCTGGCCGTGGTCTTGGCGGCGTTGGCGCCGGCGCCGCCCTGGGACCCCGCCTCGAAGCACTCGTCCATCTCGCTGGTGATGTCCTTGATGGCCATGCCTCGGACCTTCTCGGGGCCCTGGCACATGAGGCCCCGCACGTTGACCACGGACGCCCGCGCCTTGACCCAGTCCCTGAGCCACATGAGGTTGCAGCCGCAGAACCAGGGGTTGTTCCGGAGCAGCAGCTGGCTCAGGTTCTCCAGGTCGTCGAACAGGCCGCGCGGCAGGGAGGTGAGGTTGTTGTTGGACAGGTCCAGCCGCTCCAGCTCGCGCATCCTGGCCAGCGTGCCGTGGGGGACGTGGCTGATGGCGTTGTCCTGCAGGTAGAGCTTCTGCAGGCGGGCGCTGGGCAGGTTGAGGGGCGGAGCGGCCAGCGAGTTGCGCACCAGGGACAGCTCCGTGAGGTTCTGCAGCCGGCTGAAGGTGTCGTCTGCGATGCGCTGATTGGCCAGCAGGTTGCCGTCCAGCACCAGCCGCCGCAGGCTGGCGAGGCCCTTGAAGGCGTGCAGCGGGATGGTGGAGATGCGGTTGTCGTCCAGCCGCAGCTCCTCCAGCGTCCGCGGCAGGCCAGATGGGATGCTGCTCAGGTGGTTCCGCGACAGGAAGAGCAGCTTCAGCCGCGAGCTGTCCGCGAAGGCGTCGTCCTCGATGCTCACAGTGGACACTGAGTTGTCGTCCAGATGCAGCTTCTCCAGGAGGGGGATGCGGGCCAGCGAGGCGCGGGCGATGGTGCGGACGTTGTTGTCCTGCAGGTGCAGCTCGCGCAGGGAGTGCGGGAGGTTGATGGGGAACTCGTCCAGGTCGTTCTCGTAGAGGTAGATCACCTGCACGTTGACCTTGCTCTTCAGGTCCTGGGGGATGCCCGCGTTATTGATCTGGTTGTTCTGCAGGTAGAGCGTGGTGGCGTCGTCCGGGATGTCGGCTGGGATGGAGGTCAGACCCCGGTCGTTGCAGTAGATGAAGCCGCCGTCGCAGCGGCAGACCGACGGGCACGTGGTGCTGTCGATGACCTCCGTCAGGAAGGCGATGAGCCCGTAGCACAGGAACAGCCAGTCCCGCAGGTCGATGGTGGCCGTGGTCATGACCACCATGGTCGTGGTCGTGGTGGCGGCGGCGGCGGCTGTGGCGCTGGTGGAGTGGGCCATCGCCATGGTTCGGGGGGTGGAGAGCCGGGGGGCCGCCCGGCCCGCGTCCTCGTCACCTGTAGGAGGCACACAATCAGGGCAGTGAGTCAGATAGCTAGCCAGCATGAGGAACACCAAGCTACACACCGCAGTGGTTCCCAGCTCAGCGGCCTTGCGTGGAAGAGCTTCCTAGAGCTGGGACCTTGTGGGAGGAAGTTATGGGGAAAGCACGTAGCCTTTCCTTCCTTCTTCCTTCCTTCCCTCCCTTCCTCCTTCCCTTCTGTTCTCTTCTCTTTCCTCCCTTCCTCCTTCTCTTCTTTCCTCCCTCCCTTCCTCCCTCTCTCTTCTTCCCTCTCTTTTCCTTCCTTTCCTCCCTTCCCTTCCTCCTTCCCTTCCCTTTCTTTCCCCTTCCTTCTGTCCTTCCTTCCCTCCCTTCCTCCATCTTTTTCTTTCTTTTCCTTCCTTTCCTCCCTTCCTCCCTCCCTTCTTCCCTCCTTTCCTCCCTCCCCGACATTCTTTCCCTTGTTTTGCTTTGCCTTCCTCATCCTTTTTTCCTTTGTTTTTTCCTTCTCTCCCCTTCCCTTTTCCCTTTCTCTCCTTTCCTTTTCTTTTCCTTTCCCTTGAGGGGCAGGGTGCCGTGATGCAAAGAGCCCAGAATTTGAAATCGTAGGCCTTGGGTTTGTCTCCCACCTCTGCCCTGTTAAGTGACCCGGGTGACCTCCAGAACCTCTCCTCCCATCTCTGGACCTCAGTTCCATCATCTCTAAAATGAGAAAATTGGACTTAATCATTTATTAAGCCCCACTGTGCGCTGGCACCATGCTAAATGCTGGGGTACAGAGAAATGTAAAACCTGTTCCCTGCCCTCGGAGGGCTCCCGGTCTAACGGGGGAGACAACGTGCAAACCACTGTTGCTCAGAGGTGGGGTCCTTTCCCGCCGATCCTCTCTCGGGGAGCCTGCCCTTCACTCCCATCCCGTTCTTCAGCCACTTGGTGGCTCCACGTGGGGGTCCCGCTCGCTGCTGGGCTTGGGTGGCGTAAGAATGGGGCACCTCCAGCCTGGGCGTTTCTGGAGACTCCTTCCCTTGTCCCACGCCAGTCCTCGCATCCGCGCATTGCTGGGATGCTCCTCCCTGTGCGTCTACCTTGTCGCGTTAATGTCTCCGCTAATGTCTCCGCTGGTTCCCTGTTGCTTCTCCATTAAATCACAGTCCTTTTCCTGGCCTCTTACTCCTGGGGCTGTTTTCTCTTTACAACTTTAGCTCCTGTAATTACCCTCCACAAACTCCTGGCTCCAGCCACGTTGGGCCACCCTCTCTTCTTCAGGCATGCGTGGCGCGTCCTACCTTGTGTCTGTGCTCAGGCTCTGTTCCCTGCATCAGATCACCCTCCCCATCTCAGATGCCCCTTCCTCCTTGAAGACTTCCCCGATCTCCATCGCAAACCTTCTCCCCCCATCAGACATCACGGCACCATTTGCCTGTAGCCCTTTTGTGGGGTGGTAGACATTTCTGTGTGTCCATCTTTCCCCCTTGCTGGACAGCGGGCCCCAAGGGGGGTGTGGCCGGATGTCTTCCACCCTTCGTCTCTTGCTCGGGCATCAGTACGGTCCAGCGTATACAGTTGGTGCTTCAGATGTGTATACTGAACAGTGAGTGGTTATAATGAAGAATAAAAAGAGAGAGTACAAGTGTTTTGGTGGGACTTTGGAATGGTTTTCGCTCTCCAGACATGAAGAAATCTGACTGACGCCTAGGATCGTGAAGCAGAAACCCAACAGCGTCGCCACACGTGCAGAATATAATGTTCGCCTCAAGCACTTGGCACTTACTAGCTGTGTGACCCTGGGCAAGTCACTTAACCTGATTGCCTCACCAAAAAGCAAAATAAACAAACAAAAAACCCAAAACAAAACCCAGAGTATAACGTTCATTGGTCAGGAGTGGGAGCGTTCTGGCTGATGCTAACACGGACAGCGTGGTGTTTGTCCTTCACCTCGGGCATGCTCAGACCTGCTTCGTTACCAAGGGCCATCTCTCGGGTCCAGAGCTCTGGAGCTCACTGAGCCACATGGGGTGGACCCATTGTGTGAACAGCGGAGGTTACATCAGTGACATGATGCAACCGTGTGCCTCCGAAGACGGGAGGCAGGGCATGGTGTAAACACTGTCATTGTGGGCCACTGCCCGGGAGAGTTACAGGCGTGTTCAGAGGTTATGCCAAGTTAGTGTGAAAGTCCCCGGGTGTCCCTTGGGTGTTACACGTGGAAGAAGACTAGGTGAGGAGAAGCGTTTTTCCGCATCTGTGCAATGCTCTGTCTCATAGAAAAGGCACAGAATTCTTTAAGTGCTTTGACCCAGCCGTGCCTTCAGCAGGCGTGTCCCCCCAGGGCAGTCCCAGGGGGAGGGAAGGGTCCCATAGATAGCGCAGTGTCTATAGCAGCATTTTTTTGTGGCAGCAAAAGCGTGGAAACACAGTGTTGGGGGGTCTGTTGATTGGGGATGGCTGAACAAACAGGTTTGTGAGTGAAATGGGATGTTTTTATACTAGGAGGAAAGACGAGTGTGAGGAGGTCAGGGAAGCGTGGAAAGACTTGGAAGAACTGATGCAGAGCGAGGAAAGCAGAACTGGGAAATCAGTCTACACCAGCTGACGGTTAGGGAGTAAAAAAGCAGACTTTTAAGAGGCAGCTGACCTCGGATGCTATTCATTGACCAAGCTGAGCTCCAGAGGACACACAGTTGGACGCGAGGCAGAGGTGGAGGGTGGGGGATATGTCAGGGTCCTACGCAATGGTTCCACTCTTTGTCTCAGTCACTTTCCTTCCCTGGGTACCCCTCCCCCTTCTGTGTTGTCTTTACCTATTAGATTGTAAGCTCCTTGAGGGCAGGAAGGCTTTTCTCCTTGTATTCCCAGTGCCCACCACAGAGTAGACACCTTTCTTTCTTTCTCTTTCTTTCTTTCTTTCTTTCTTTCTTTCTTTCTTTTCTTTTCTTTCTTTCTTTCTTTCTTTCTTTCTTTCTTTCTTCCTTCTTTCCTTCCTTCCTTCCTTCCTTCCTTCCTTCCTTCCTTCCTTCCTTCCTTCCTTCCTTCCTTCCTTCCTTCCTTCCTTCCTTCCTTCCTTCCTATTTTCTTCCTCCCTTATTTCCCCTCTTATTGTCAGATTCATGTAGAGTACCATTTACTTTTGCTTAACCATCACTCTTCTCTCTGACAAGGGAGGGGGCTCTGTGGGAGAATATCAAGAAAAGAATAGTGTTTTAAAAACCATCAATACAACTTTTTTTTCTTTAAAGAGAGAAAGAAATCCATAGCGTGCTCTGGGGTCTCCACAGCACAGTGCTCTGGGTTATATGGAAAAATTGCTCCAGGGTGATTTCCAAAATCATGAAATATTTAACCATTTGAGAGAAAAATTATACATCTCTTTTCTTTTTTTAAAACAAGAAGACTTAATAACAGGAGTGGTCCACAGCCCAAGGGATTGCCTGTGAGGTATCATTTCAATTTTTGCAAATGAAAAAGTGGTAAAAATGGATTTTTTTCTCTCATATTTTTTCATCTTCTTTTACAATGAGTAGAAGTAAAAATCAATTAAGGAAAAATTATCTCCCCACCTCAGTGGGGAAGGTATCATCTCTCTCTGAGAAACTGGAGTGCCAGAAATTGCCTGGAGCTTGCTGAGGTTGGCACCCCATCTGGCCTGAAGCCTGGGCTTGGGGGGGGGTAATCTTTCTGTCTGTCTGCTCCCAGTACCCCTCCTTCTGTCTGTCTGCCCCTGGCTCCCTTCCTTTGTCTGTCTGCCCCAGCACCCAGGCCAGGGTGCCCATCCTGCTTGTATGTGGCCCTGTATCTGCCAAGCCCAAGGCCGGCTGGCCTGCAGAGGACAGTGGGGAATGCTGGCGATTTTCAGGCCCACTTGGCATTTCCACGATCCTGGCCTGTCTGGCTCTGTAATCATGGCCTGTAGCTCCCCGCCTTCCTGCAGTTTTCTTTTTGTTTATGTATTTCTGGCTGAGGGGCATTAGAGGAGGATCTTTTGGTGTCAGTGTTCTCAGAGTGTGTCCATGGAGAGCTGCCCCTGAGAGAACCGTAGCCTCAGGCTGCCAGGGACCCACGGGGGTCAGATGCTGGGCTTGTCAGGAAGACGTGGGCTCAGAGCCCCCCTTAGACACTTTCTGGTTGGGGGACCATTCAGACCTTCTGAATCATCTGCAGAGTAGACAGAAGGACACCTGCCAGGGCTGTTGTGAACCTCAAGTGAGATCACTTGTGAAAAATGCTTTAAAAAGCTCCTTGTCCGAGTCTGCTGTTGGAAGCTTCAGGCCTGCCTGCGCCTTTGGGAGGGTGGGAGTGGGGACGTTTTCCCAGGCGTCACACCCTTGTGGCACACGTGTGGTGGGGGGAGAGAGACCAGACAGACAGACACAGGGTGGGGAAGAGACAGAGACACAGAAAGAGACTGGGGTGGGGGAGACAGGAAACCAAACAGAGACAGATTCTCTCCTGGGGCAGACAGTAGAAAGTGACCTAGCTCTGGCGTCGTAGGACCCGAGTTCAGATCCTGACCTGTACCACTGGGGTGTCATTGGGTAAATCCCTTCTCGTGGGGCCTCAGTTTTCCCGTTGGAAGGAGGGGAGAGGGAGCTGGAGTGGATTGGGGTTCTTGGTTTTTTGATCACTCTTTTCAATGGATCACTTTCCTGGCACCCTGTGTCTTCCGACCTCGTGAGCAGGGCCCGGTGGCTTCACCAGGCTGATGGCCACGGGGTCCAGGGCACAGGAGTGCAGAAGCCGTGGCCCGGATGCCAATGACCGCAGTGTCCGTCGCAGTAGGAGTTTGCAGCTCCCGGCTGCATGACCTCTCGTGTTTTCCTCCGCAGCCTGGGGACTTTTTACAGATGAGGACACCAAGTCTGAGAGAGGTGGAGGTAATTCCTCAGGATTACTCAGATTCAAACACACATCTCCTGGCTCGGTCTGGCCGTGAGCTCTTTGCTGCTTCTGCCATCCCTCTTTGCGATGAATTCAGATCCTCTGAGTTTCTGGCTGTGGAGCCCTGAAGGAGGATCCTCA